GGTTGGGGATAAACGTACATCATCGCCTTCTAAGAACGGTACCCCCAGTTCTTCCTGCAGACCGCGCCCGACGGTACTCTTCCCACACCCGGCGGGCCCCGTCACCACCCAGATGTGTTGGATCTGCTGCCGCGGTTGCGCCGGAGGCTGCGGCTGGGTCTGGTCCGCCCACATGGGGTTGGTGGTGGTGTGGTTGATGTTGAGGGGGGTGTCGACCACCGCGCCCTTGTTCTTCATGGCGGGTTGCGGGCGTTCGCCGGCGGAGAGCATGGTTTTTAGTTTAGGGGTTATTGGTTTTTCGGGGCTTGGGGGTTTTGGGGGGGTCAAGGAACGGTGCGCTGGGATAATTGGGTGTATGACGTGCTCGGAATTTGTGAAAGTTGGTTAGAACCACAGTTGGGATTGTTGGAGTTGGAGCTTGTGTAGGCAAGAGTAGAGTGTAAAGGGTGTGGTGTTGTAGTGGATGTAGTAAGTAGGGGCGGGTAAAGTTGGCTTGAGTTCTCCCTGACGCAACAACCGGGGGAAAGACTGAGCTTAAGAAGGAAAAGGACAAGGACAAGGACAAGAATAAGATCGGGGAAGAAACTACGGCTATAAAGCAGAAGGGAAAAGACGGGAAATCAGAATGATGAAAGGGTTTCCAGGACGGGCAACAATACTAATAATAATCCCATGGACTGTGTGGGTCAGTCAGTCCGGGGGGGGGGGGGGCGTTATCGGCTTCAGAATGACACTGTTTCGTCCGGTCTGGTTTTCCTTGAATTTGCGACTTGAATGAATGTGATTGATCGTTTTGCCTACTCAGTATCCCCTTTCCAGGATCCACCCCGGCTTCTGGCATCGGGTGTTGAGACAGCGCGCAGCATGGGACGGATTTAAGGTATCAGAAGTAGAGGGAAGAATTCCCACTCGTCATTTCATCACCACTGCATTTGGAGTGGGGGGGGGGGAAAGGGAAAGGACAAGCACCAGCAAAAAAAAAGGGTGGGGGGAAAAAGAAATAAAGAAGCGTCTTTTCTTCTCTGAGACTCCGGCGGTCTGGTTGTTAGCGGGAGATCCGATCGGGCTCTGTATCACAGACGTATGGCTTACACCTCTCTGTATTTACACCATAGACAACTACGAGTAGAAAGCCACAGGAAGAGTGTCCATGCAGTGACGCAGCACCTGTATCACATTCTCCGCTGTTGCCATTGATCCAGATGAGACGGAAATCCCTCCTATTGCTCCCATCATTATCTCGAACCAAGGTGTTTCGGAGGAGTATCGGGCGAGATAACCTGTCCATGCCATGATGTCACTGGAGCCGTGATGTGTAACCGGCGTTTCGGAACAGTCGATAAATTTCCCCCTCCGTAATCTATTTTCCGGCCAGCAAAAAATTGGGGGTTGTCCCCCCCACACTATTCCCTCTATGGCACTAGCCTGCTGTTCCTTTTCTATGCACCTTCTTCGATGCTTCCAGAGGCTTTCCTCTCTCGAAAGGCTCGCTCCAGTTCTACCGTGGACCGTGGACCCATTTAAGGTACTCACAGTTGCATGAACAGAAACAACCACAACGTTGGATGGGTTTACTGTTCTTTCCGTTGGTCTGTTTGTAGCAGCCTAATCGCCAAACCAACTGGCAATAGTGTCACGAGGTCTCGAGACAGCAATAGACCAAAAAAAAGTCCGGCCTGGGCCGTACCTTTTCCTTTTCCCCGGTGCCAGCCATTGCGACAGGTCGGATTTAAGCTTGACGGGGGTCATTTCCCTCTGTTCACAGCAGAACTCCATTCCCGTAGGTACACGTCGTTTGGTGTCACCTTTGACCCAACCAGAACCAGAGCTTTCTTCATCTTCCCCCTCTTGTGAAACCACTTAGCTCTGATCATGCGTCCCTCCCTTCGCTCACCGCCGCTGACAGACGTGAATGGGAAACTCGCCGAGGAACACAATGATCAAATTACCTTGCATTGGCTGCAAGCAACTTTTCCAAGGTTGATCTTCCCTGGCGGCTCTGTGCATGATCCGACTGGAGTGCAAGGGTTCATTACCGGATTTCTGCCCAACGACCTCCTCCTTGAAGCGAGAGAAATAACCTTAAGCGCCCTAAGCTGACAGGTTATTCTCATCAGAACTGGTGACTGTGTCTCCTCAAACAACCCCTCATTTTTATAGACAGGTCATCCAATTAGAGTATCGATCCCTGACAGTGCGGAGGGAACGGATGACTTCCCCAGACTTTCTGGAGCCTGTTTCTGCAGCGCAAAAGGAGCAATATTCCCCGCTCCAGCGACTTTAGAGTGCGTTTATGCCCCGTCGATCTTGCCGCATGTCATTAGGACGGGACCATATATGCAGAGATTCTTCGATACATCACGAGCTATCAACAGATCCGAGTAGGAAGTCGCACATGACGTGTAAAGTACTGGAGTATAAGATAAAAGGCGTTCCATACAGCGAGTGCTTCTTTGGCGGGCAGCATGACGAAGGCGGTGAGTACGTAATCGGCGATAGTGCCAGCGCGTCCACCGCCGCCAGGCAGTCGAGATGCCGCCGAGGGAGCTGGCCATCTCATGGCCATTCCTGCCCGCTAATTATTATTCGATTGGATTTTACACTCAGGTACACGGCTTGACTTGACGAGCCTACTAGGTAGACTTTGCCAGCCGCTGCCAATCAGATTTGTTCCACTTCTCCCTTCCCCCGTGCAGCACCCTAGCTCCTTGACTCCTTCCTCCCCCCCCCCCCCCCCCCCCCCCCCCCCCCCCCCCCCCCCCCCCCCCCCCCCCCCCCCCCCCCCCCCCCCCCCCCCCCCCCCCCCCCCCCCCCCCCCCCCCACGATGACCTCCCTCTTCTTCTCCACCCCGGTGGACATCGACGTGGTTCTCGAAGATAGCGATGAGCGCCAAACGGTGGATGTCAAGTTGGACAAGGGCCGTCGCGAGAGGGTCCCTCTCTACATGGACGGCGAGTCCGTCAAGGGAGCCGTGACCGTCAGACCCAAGGATGGAAAGCGGTTGGAACACACTGGCATCAAGGTGCAGTTTATCGGTACTATTGGTATGCGACCTAGGCCTTCATCCCCGCGCGCGGGCATATCCATCTTATCACACTGCCACAGCTCAACACTAGGGTGCACTAAAACAGGCTGACCAGCTCCTTCACAGAAATGTTCTACGACCGCGGCAACCACTACGAATTCCTCTCCCTGGTGCAGGAGCTGGCGGCGCCCGGCGAGCTGCAGCACCCGCAGACCTTCCCTTTCAACTTCAAGAACATCGAGAAGCAGTACGAGTCCTACCACGGCATCAACGTCAAGCTGCGCTACTTCGTCCGGGTGACGGTCTCCCGGCGCATGGCGGACGTGATCCGCGAGAAGGACCTCTGGGTGTACTCGTACCGCATGCCCCCGGAGACCAACAGCCCCATCAAGATGGACGTCGGCATCGAGGACTGCTTGCACATCGAGTTCGAGTACTCCAAGTCGAAATACCACCTGAAGGACGTCATCGTTGGCCGCATCTACTTCCTCCTGGTGCGGCTCAAGATCAAGCACATGGAGCTGTCGATCATCCGCCGCGAGACCACGGGGTCGCCGCCCAATCAGTACAACGAGAGTGAGACGCTGGTGCGGTTCGAGGTGAGTGCAGCTGGAACAAGATTTGGGGGACGAGGATAGTGCTGGGGAATGCTAACGGCGCACATTGCAGATCATGGATGGGTCGCCCTCTCGAGGTGAGTGAGAATCGGGCCCTTGAAAGATAGCCAGCCATACAACCTTGACGAGTCCAGCTAATGCTGACGATACCTCACCTAGGTGAAACCATTCCCATTCGTCTCTTCCTCGGCGGATTCGACCTGACACCCACCTTCCGCGATGTCAACAAAAAGTACTCGACGCGATACTACCTCAGCCTGGTGCTTATTGACGAGGGTAAGTCGGTTACGCTGTCTCTTTCTCTCTCTGTTTCACAACCCACCCTTGCCTTGTTTTTTCATTTCGTTCTGCCTTATCACAGAACATCGGGCAGAAGTGTGTGTCCACTTGCCGGAGACCGGTCGGCGGGAACCAGCCCCCCTTCCCAACCAACCGCCGGCGCACACCACACTAAACATCCCACGGCATCCCACTGTTCCCCCGTTTCAATAGCCGGTCGGCTATCGGTGAAAGCCACCCCTCCCCTCACGCTGATCGGGCCACACACACCGCCCGCCACATCCAGCCCATCAATCGCTACCCCCACACTAAACCCCAAGCGATGGATGGGCTTCTCCCCCGTCTTTGCCTAGAGGTTTTCCTCACGTGGAGGCCCCAATTTCTCCAATCGCGTTCCTTCCCCCATTTTCCTTCCCCCACTCCATCCGACAGCCTGCTTTACCCCAAACAAACCAACGACACCGCCTTTCTTCCAACAACATCAACAACAACCACCGCCATAACAAAATACACACAGTCCACTAACCCCATAATCCATGAAACACAGACGCCCGCCGCTACTTCAAACAATCCGAAATCGTCCTCTACCGCCAAGCCCCGGAGATCGCCCCCACCCCGCAAATCGCCCAGCAGCAGCAGATCCAGCAGCAGCAGTTGCTCCAACAGCAACAGCAACAGCTGCCCGTCGGCTCGGCCACCCCGGGTCCCGGTCGTAGTGAAGCCCATCAGCAGAACCATTTCGCGCAGCAGCAGCAGCAGCAGCAGCAACAGCAGCAGGCGGCTCAGTCCGTTCCTGCTCCTGCGGCTTAGCGGTCTTCTAATTTCTTGTAAACCGTTCGAGCTAAGTAATGCGTGAACCTTTTTGCCTGGTTAGAGAGGTGCGGTTGCTCTCAGTTGCTCTGGTTGGTAGGGTATGGGCGGGCTGGGGCTGGAGCTGAGCTGGAGCTGGAGCTGAGATGATTTGTACTTGTACTTTATTTCATATATACCCTTGCTTTTTCTCCTTTTTACTTTGTTGCTTTGTGGGGGATTGAGATGTATGTGCATGTGGTGTAGTCGGGGGGCCATGGGTTGTATCGTGTAGGCTGGGGTGATGGGGGTGGAATAGGTTTGTGTGCACGAGGTTGCAGACTTTCTGCTCCGTAATGTATCTGTTGGAGATGTAGGTGGGAGTATTAGGTTGGGGTAGTAGTATTGCTGATAGCTACACTCCAATTCCTTTTAAGGAAAGAGGTACTTCTACAATAACTATGACCCGATACACAAATCTCAGGCGGCTGCCTATACGTCCATCCAACAGGGATATCGATTGAAAGACTAGAGCACAAACTAAGAATACATCTTTATC